AATGCCCCCTATTAATTATGCAAAGAAGCGCCGGACTCCAAAATGTAATTCTTAGACGACCAGGAGTCCTTGATGGCTGATACTTCCTCGGTTATTTATCTTTTTGTAATTAAGAATTTATATTTGAAAAATCAAAAGGGCAAACTAAAACTCAACTAACAATAAATGGATAAAGTAATAAATATTAATTTTTTAATCAATTCTTAATTATTTTTGACAATAAAATTAAGATAAAAATAAGGTTGAGTGACTTAAATAATTTTTTGTACCCGTGCACAAAAGATATTGAATATATATTATTATTTAAAAGATATTGAATGATAAAATAATGGTAATTATTATAATGAGATGACTAATTATTTACTTTGGTAACTAAAAATAATTTAAATGAATGATATATTAATTGTTAATTATTAATATTAACATTGAAAAAATTGGTTTATTGATGAAATGAATGGTATATGAATTGTTAATTATTAATATTAATATTGAAAAAATTAGTTTATTTTTAGATAGATGAAGAGGTAAAGTAGGGAACCATGGGAATAGGGGTGTTCGTTGGAGGGAAAAAATAAAAAAAAATGGTCTTGGTTGAGAACAACGTAACTTTGAGATAAGAAAATGAGGAGCTTAGAATAAATTATATATAATAATTATATAATAAATAATAAATAAATTTATATTATTATATTATTATATTATATATTATTATTATTATAAAGAAAAAGAAAACAAAAAGGCTAAAAAAGATTATAACAACAGAAATAATTATTCAGCAATACATTATAATCTTATGGTTTTACTTTGTATAATTTTAGGCACCTATTCATCTTCTTTTAGTTTATTACATTATATATAATAATTACAAAATGATTGAGAATATAAAGATAAGAAATGGAAGACAAGAATATGAGAAGACAAAGAATAATTAGAAAGTTTTAATTAGAATTTATTGAAAAATTATTTAAAAAATATAACTACAAACGGAATTATAATATCATAAGGATTACAATTATTATATTATTATGAGTTACAATGTTATTTTCATCCTTTATTTAGAAAGATACCTTTTTTGCCAATGAATTTGAATAGACTATTTTATAATTTAATACCATAGTAATGATGATGATTAAAAATAAACAGTCACTATTCCTAACCTATCCTATCCTATAATAATAATTCAATTAATTAAAGTGATATATTTACATGATTTCTATTTAAGCTCACTCCTTCTCCATTCTCTATGCAAACTTTTGACGAAGAAATTTGAGTCAAGTAACAATTTCAAAAAGGTATATTACATTTGATACTAGGTATTTGATACTTATTTCATTTTTTTTAATTACATTATTTATACATTACAATTTGACTTTTTTTTTTGACAATTATTTTGCAATATGGAAAACCCCAAGTTTGTAGAAAGAATTAATTTCAAGGAACTACTGGAGAGGATATCTATTCAATTGAATCTAGACCAGTCACAATATCAAACAAATCTAAGTGATGATGGGAATTATGCCTCCAAAGTTCAACTAATCTAAGAAGAGGACTACATTGGCATGGAATTATTTTACAATGGCTATCATTTTGCAACTATGGAAGGAGCAGAACAATCTATTGCAAAACATGCTATCTTAAAACTAGAGAAATCTCATAATTTTGCAATTGAAGATATTAATTACATCAAAATGCAAGCTCTTGAAAAAGCTTTTCAAAGACAATCTTCTTTGCGTGAAATGGAGAAAGAGAAAGAAGTAGATCATGTTTCAAGGATTGTTAAAGAAATTAGAACAATGTTACAAAGAATAAAAATATCTTACTATAGCCAGAAAAAAATGAATGTACTTCTAAATAATATCTAATAATTTTCATATTATATAGAATTGACTATCCATGATATAATATAAATAAATTACAGGGTTAACTTTATCTTATATATTCCATTTTCTTCTTAAAAATTACTAACAATGTCCCTAAATAATCTATTATTAATTTAATTATTATTGATAACCCGTCCAACTTTATTTATAAGACTAGCTTTTTTTTTATTATTGTTGTCACCTATCATTGTCCCTTTTTCCTAATTAAATAATCATTCCCTTCACCTTTTATTATATTACATTTAATTAATTTATTCAATTTGTCCATCCTACGAGAATGACTATGGAAAATAGAAGACAAACAAGAAGAATGGAAAAGATACGGAGGGAACCCACCCACCACAAAAAAAAAAAAAAAAAAAAAAAAAGAAAAAAACAACTACTGCTTAAACCAAGAGGTGCATCCAGAGAAGAAAGATGCGTATCCTTGGAAATGCAAATATATATATATATATTGGAATGCATAATAATAGAAGTTATAGGACTAAATTATAAATAATTTCAAAGTTTGAGGTCTGTATTGTGGAACAAAAGGTTCAATTAGGGACCTAGATGAATAAATTCCAAGATATAGGATTATAGTGTCCACCATGTAGAGGTCTTAGGATCAGACTTGCAATTTTATCTTTGAAGAAATAACAGAAGGGCTCAAGAACCTGACATGGGTTGTGTGTCGACACTCTTTCTTAGTGTCAATATAATTATTGTAGAGGGAGTTGAATAAATTAATATATAATTAAAAACTTTAAGCATGGGTTATGAAAAATTAAACTCACCTTAATATATATGTAACGGAAAATAATAATGAAAAGAATTATATACAAAATCCTGGATATAATAATAATTATATATAATGGTTATTATATACAAAATAATAATTATATCTACCAAATCCT